ACCCCCCCCCCCCCCCCCCCCCCCTCCAGGACGACGACGTGTTGGTTGGCGGAACCGACCGACGTACACCTCGGTGTATCGATGTCTACGTTACGTGGAAAATACTACGGCCACATATGTGAATGTGCATCCACAGCTTCTGTGTGGTCACGGAGTTCCTACCTACCCCGGTGGAGACGCTCTGCTGTGTGTGTGCAAACAGAAAAAAATGTCCCATCTTGTGGGTACCGACCAGCTACGAGTAGTTGTTGTTGCTGTTGACTTCACATCCAAAACCGTTCCGGTCTCCGCTCAGCCTTCTAGTACTTTGAGAAGTTGCGCGAGAAGGAAGGCAAAGGTTGGGGTCATTCACCCCTCTACGGAACCGGTTGACGGCGTACAGATAAAACGGGTTGGTTGCCATTTCCCTTCCCGTTCGACAATGCCGGAATGGCCCGCCGACAACACATTTGGTTTGGTCGTGCAAACCGTCACAATATGCGATCCTTCGCATGTAGCATGCGTACCATGAAGTAAACAGCAGTCATCCAAAACCTGACGTAGCTGATTAGGACACGCGACCACACAGCACACGAGACACTCACGTCGAACCAGGAAGAACGTGCACCCCTGACTGACGGGGTGCTCGTCGGCAGACGAGTCGGCGGTGTCGGGCAGCTGGCCGGCGTGGCGCTGCTGCTCGATGGCATCACGCGCCGTACCTTCCTCCAAGCCTGCTGCTGCTGCTGCTGCTCCTGCTGCTCCTGCTCCAGGCGGTGCTGCAGCTGAAGCCGTGTCGGCGGCGGGATCACCTGGGAGGCGGTAATGCGACGAAGCAGCTCTTGTCTGCGAAGCCGACGCCGCGGGCAGGGAGAGGCCGGCCGCCCCAGTGGGCAGGTCTGTCGCCGTCGCCACGACTGATGCCAGTACCATCATCATCAGGGCAACGAGGATCATGTTGCAAAAACGAAGAGTTGTTACCTTTGCGCCAAAACACCTTTGGAGGTTCTTCCCTCTCTACTCTCGATTTCCAGCCTAGCACGGGCCTATCAACCCGCCGTGTGGTTGGAACCACTCGAGCAGACACCACACACACGCGCGCGAAGCAGCTCTTTAACCTGTCGTTGCCGAGTTTACCACTGCCGTGGTAAAACGCGGCGGAACTACACACATGTACCGGACGCTCCGTGGTTTTAGTCAGGGGGGGGGTGGGAGGTTCTCCATTGTTGTGTGCCCCCCGCCATTCTCTTGCTCTCGGCGAAGTGCTGTCACATACTTCGGAGGAGCTCTACTTCCCCATCGAAGCACGGGAGAGTCAAAGAGACGGGAGAGGTGGAAAGACCCTCTGCCAGTTTGTCCAGCTGGCACGCTCAGGGAGGTCGTGCAAGTCTAAGAGATTGTCCTTACCGATCGGCATTTTCGCAGACCGGGAAACGATTGTTCGCTGCCTTCGTAGCAGCAGCAGCAGCCATGTCACTTCCGAAGGAGCTGGTGGGGCGAGATGGAAAGACAATCTGGGATCGCAAGAGCAACGCTCTTCCCGACCCCGGCGCGCTCGTACGGGAGATTCGGTCGCCGGATGGAGTGACAGGTGAGAAGAGGATAAGGGTACTCCCAACCAAGAGTATGTCTTTTCGGAGAAGTGAGCAACAAGCTCTCGGCTGTTCATGACATTACTGCTGCTGTCCACACTTGGGAAACACCACGGTGCTTTACCCCCGCCTCTCGCCTCTGTGTGAGTTGTTGCGAAATCCTGCAAGCAGCAGGCGGGCAAAGTGAGAAAAGTTCCCCGATTTCTCGTGGTTGACACGCAGCAGCAGTGCAACAAACAAACAAAAAAGCGTTTGCATGTAGCTCTTTTTGACATTATTGTACTGCATTTTGTAGCCGGATAACCCGCTGTTGCTGGTGCCGCTGCTGCTACTGCTGTTGTTGTTGTTGCCGTGATGTTGAAGAAGAACAACAGCAATTGGGTAGGTACACTGTAAGATAGCAGTGGCCGGGAGCAACAAGCAGGGCAACAACTTCTTTGCAGCAGGCATTTTCTGTGTTTGCTTGTCGAAGTTGCCGCCACAGCACTGCCGAACGTCGACTCAGTTGGAGTATCTACACAAGAGAATTTTGCTGCTTTAGAAAGAACGGAGGTCCACCGGCAGAACTTTACCGATCATCATCAGCAGCGGGAATATTTTTGCCGGACGGTTGAGAAAAGCATCGAGACAGAAAACCACACTGGTGTTTGAGGCAGGCAACGCGGATCGATGTCGCTCAGGATGGAGAACGTCCTCGAGAGAATCAAAAGCTCGAAGATACAAAACCTTCTATTTACTTTAGATGAAAGTGCCAAAGTTATGCCTGTGGTGCGGACTGTTGATGCTCTCGACATTGTCCTCCAAGCTCAGCGAGCCTTTACGATGTCGATCCGCGTTGCCTACCTCAACACACGAGAAGAGTCGGTGTCGTTTTCTGTCTCGACGCCTGTCACCCCGTGCATGGTCCAGCAGGTACGGTATTCCCGCCGCTGATGATCGGTGAAGTAGACCAGACACTTGGTGTTCTCCGCGGGGGTGGGTGCCCGTAAGTAACTCCGTTCCTCACCTATAAGGACAGAGAGCGGTAGGTTTCCACAATCGAGCTGCCTGTACGCACACAGCAGCACAGCCATTTGGTACGCAAGAGGCAGATATGTTTCCCTCTATGCACACACCTCCCATCCAAAGCGCAGTTTTTTTGTGCCTGCTTTCTCAACGGTTGGTAGCGGCTTGGCAAAGAACTTACAGCAGTATGTTGTCTTGTTCGATGCGAAACGTAAGCGTGAGCAAGGATTGATTGCGTCCTTCATTGACAACGCGATTGATTCGTGCTGTGCATTGCCGGCGGAGAGAGAAAGCCTATCCCAGTGCGCCCAATCGCTTTAGCCTTCTTTCCCTTCCCGCCGCCCCAACACCCCCCAGACACACGCCTTTTGCCCTGTTGTATCCCCCCAGATCAGACTCAGAGACGAAGCCGATCCCAGCGCGCCCAATCGTTCAAGCTTGAATCGTAAGCCTTCTTTCCCTCTCACCCCCCCCCCCCCCATTTTGTCGTCGTCTGCGCTACCCCCCCAGATCTGACCCTGCTGCGGCAGTGCGTGATGGTGGTGCTGGCGCATGCTCACCCGAGCTCGCTCCCGACGTGGTGCAGCTGGCTGTGCTGCCTCGGCGAGCCCGAGACTACGCTGCGAAGTCTCAGGGAGATGAGTGGGGGCAGCAGGTAAAAGAGGAGGGGGTTCCTCCGACGGTACCGGGGTGGGGGTGGGGGTGGGGGTACTCGTGCTGTGCATTCCTTAGCGGTTAGACCATTTGACCACGCGTCCTCGAGAGGACGGAGCAGGGGGGGTACTCGAAGGCGTTGACCCAAGGACGTTGGAAAGAATGTCGCGCACGGGGCAATGGAGAGCAGGTGGATATGGTCATGGCTAGTGTTCGATTCCATTGCACATCCAACAATATGGACAGGTAGCACGTTTGTTCGCGTGAAGATTGGTGCGGAGGGTGGGGGGCGCATGAGATGGAATCAACCCAAACACGATGACTTTCATGCCGAACCTGAATTCTGCGCGCCTCAGGCTACTCGTGTTGTAGGGGTTCGTGTGTATGACGTGCGAGGCTTTTCGTCCTTGACAAGCCTTTGCGCTCGGACGCAAGGGTGTTGGGTTGCTGTCGGCCGTCTCCCGTTCTTGCTCTCAGGTCGTGGCGCCCCTGTAGACATGCCTTTTTTTTTTTGCTCCATCTGTCTCGTTCAAAATAGTCTCGAAGGGCTGCTCTGCCGCACCTCTCTTGAGCTCCCCCATGCCGCGCTACTTGCTTCTGCCCCGCCGCCTTTAAGACCAAAATAGAAGACATGCCATGGTACTCCTCCTCTGTTGTCAATTTTTTTCCATGTGTTGTATTGTTGGGGGAGATACGTGCATATCGCGAAGAAACGTTGGCAGGAAGCTTTTATTCCTAGCGCTTGCCGCAGAAAACGACACGCGCATGACAAAAAGAAGGCACCAAGGAAATCTCTCCTGGCCTTGCCGTTGACAACACGACTTGACGACATGGCTAACAACGACAACGACGACGCCGATGATGACATGACCAACAACGATGACAACCACCATGACGGCGACATCGGAAGGGTCTGCGGGTACGTGTTCAAGCGCGGCGACATCGCGTGGAACTGCCGCAAGTGCCAGGTGGACAGCACGTGCGTGCAGTGCGACGCCTGCTTCCGCCGCTCGGACCACACGGGGCACCCGGTAAGAGCCCCCTCCCATCCCTCGCCCCCCTGTTCACAGGGCTCACCGCAAGTTTCACACTAGTGTGAAAGTGTTGTTTCTACCCGTGCTTTTCCGAAGCAAGCTTGTACGAGTGTACACAGATATTTAGAAAATATAGATAAACTCACGGAAAGAGACTATCCGTTCGAGATAACCACACAGTTTTGTTTCGTTGAGGCTCGCTGGGCTCTTTTGAGTCGCCAGACTGAGATGTTTCCCCGAACACTTCCCATCGAGTTTTTCCCAGCGTACAAGTACGTGCAACACGCGCGTTACGCAAGGTAGTTTGTTTGGTGGCGCGTGCTATTTTCGTGGCTTTCCAAACGCGGTTGCGCTGCTGCCTTTGTCAACTCGTTGTCAACCAACTCGATTGCCAGGTGGGGTTTGACCCGTACCATTTTTCAGGACGATGTCGAAAGATGAATTGGCTCGAATATTTTCCCCACACTTGCACGCAATTCTCAAGTTTTTCGCATCCACTCCCTCCCTAGTATCACATTCTAGTATGTTGATTTGTTTGCCCACTCGACAAAGAGGCGGTTTTGAATGCCTCAACAAGGCCTCTCTCTGCGATAACGAGTCTTCCCGGAGGTCTCGGACTTCTTTCACAGCTTTTGTCGAGGAAACCAAAAGAACAACAAATCCCGCCTATTTACCAGACATGTTAGCGAGAGGGGCAGGAACACTTGTGATCAACACACTTCACCCTTTCTGCTGCGCCTACTACTTTCGCCTTGCAACCAGGTGTACTTTCACCGGACGGCGCCGGGCGGCTGCTGCGATTGCGGCGACGAGGAGGCCTGGGCGGAGGAAGGGTGCTGCAGCCGCCATCGCCCGCGGAGAGGAGACCAGGGTGGTGGCGGAGCCGGCGATCCCCTCGCCGCACTGCCGACGGACTTTCAGGCGAGGGACGGGGGGTGGAGGTCTCGTCGTTGTTGCGTTTCATTTATATTGCGACTGGTGGTGGGATGGTTAATGCTGTCGGTGATGATTGGTCTTGCTGCTGACGTTTGTCGTTGTGGTCCTTGGTGTTGCTGTCGTGGTTGATTGTTGTGGTGTGTGGTGGCGCGGGCTGTTGTGTTGTTGGTTCTGTTGTCGCTGCATGATGCGCTGTATGCCGTTTCCTCCGGCAATGCTGTGTATGAAGTCGGAGTAAAATGGACCGATTCAAAGGCAGTCGCTCATGGCCACATCAACCCTCCCGTTTTCTTTCTCGTCCTTTGTTGTGTTGCACGGCCGTGCCTGGCATATCCTACGCCTCCACGTCTCTCTCCCTTTCTCATCGCTCTTTCACCCTCATCTTTGACATCTGTTGTGCAACACACGCACACGACCATCGAACCGCCTTCTATCCTGTCGCCTTTTCACTCGCATTCTTTCTTTTTTTTTTGTCACTATGACCCAACGAATCCATCTCTATCTATAGAAAAGAGTCTAAGATAGATTACCGTATATGACACAAGATAACACACCCCCTGGACCGATTTTCAAAGCTCGATTACTCCACGACGAAGAGGATGCATAAATGAAACAATACGTTTTCGAACAGCTCTCGACGAGACGGTTCCAACGCCGCCGTTTTCGGCGCTGTGACTCTTCCTGCTGTTGAGAAATCGAGCTTTGAAAATCGGCCAAGGGGGTGTGTTATCTTGTGTCATATACGGTAGCAATGGATCCCGTGTGCACACACGCGCTGCATGTCGAACCGACATCTATCCCGCCGCCTTTTTTTTTTTTTTTGTCTCTCTCTCTTCTCAGGCGGTGGCCCGTATCGTCGTGAGGGGTGTGGTCCTCTTCCTGGCCGGCGTCTGCTGGAGTTCCCTCGACACCTACGACCCGGCTTCCCAGGAACCGACAACCCCCGCCCCCGGAGCCTCCGACAGCGGCAGCGGCGGGACTCGGCGTAGGAGCGGGCCTTCCTTGTCCTCTTCCGCGGATAACACCTCTTCCGCCGCCGCCGCCGCCGCCGTCGGAGGAGGAGGAGGAGGAGGAGGAGGAGGGAGCATGTTTTTCGGAAATAGCGGTGGCGCCGGTGGCGGTGGTGGGGCCGGGCGGGCGGAGGAGATGGTGATAGTGCGGGTTCACAACGACGATGTGCACACTTTCGAGTACGTGATCGGGACGTTTACGGACCTCGGCATCTCGTACCACAACGTGAGACGAAACGGGTGGGCGGGCGCGGTGGGATAGGAGAACACCCCGGAGAGTTTTTGTGGGGCGCGTTGTTCGTGCTCGTTGTGTCGATGAACTGATGCGTAGCCCTGATGGAAGCACGCATCCGAGCTTGGGGCATGCGCTGAACGTGGTATTGCCCCGCGTCGTTGTTGTTGGCCTTGATTCGGTCGGAAGGCGTTCTCGCTGATAGGGTGCCTGTCCCTGACGCTGCGCGACCTACGAATTCATTTCGTTTCCCCGTGGGTACATACCGCGCCGTATCGTACGTACACCAACCACTGTGCGGTCTGCACGCAGTTTAGAATTTTGAAGCGGGAATACATAATTGCAACGAAGCCATTTACCTTCCGCACATGTTATTCTCTCTTTTCGTGTACAAGCAGGGCAAGCTGTTGATTTCCTTCACCTCATTCCCCCTCCCGTGACGGTCTCGTTCATCTCCCCCCCCCCCACCCCACCTCACCCTGTGCATTTTCATCTGCGTCCCCCCCTGGCTGCATGGCATGAACGAACACGAACCCGACAACGACAACCAGGCGGCGGCGCTCACGCAGGAGGTGGACGACAACGGCATGGCCAATGTCCTCCGGGCGTCGCGGCCGCGGGCGCTCCGGACCCTACGTTTCCTGCGCGAGCGCCAACTGTTGCCTTCTATTTGTGGTGAGGGAGGGCCGCCACGTTTTTGTTGTTGTTGTTGGTGGTGGTGTTGGTGTTGTTATTTTGTGGTCTAGGGCCAACTGTTGCCTTCTCTTTGTATTGAGGGAGGGTCCTCATATTGCTGTTGTCGTTATTTTTGTGGTCTGGGAAGGTTTGGGTTTGTTTAGGGAGGCCATTGTAGCGGCACGGGCCTTGGGTGGTCGTGGTTATTTGTTGTTGCCGGCGCCGATAGATGGATGCCCCCAACCAGCGCTAGCTTGAAGTTCCAATCACGCGGGAAGAGGCAGGACGAAGCTACTGTAGGATGCGTTAGTCTCGGGTCTGGACGAGTAGCGTCTTGTGTTATCCCCATCTCAACTCCTCCATTTGTCCTCCCCCATGTCGTTCTCTGTCTGTCTGTCCATCTGTCTGCCTGCCTGCCTGCCTGCCTCCTTCGGCACCGAAAAACAAAAATCCAACACCAACACGCTACGCGCGGGAAGACTCCGCCCACGTGGAGATGGAGAACCGCGGCCTGGCGCTCCTGTCGTGGCTGGGTCTGCTGTGCTCCCAGACCGACGGCCTGCGCCGTGTCGTGGCGCAAGAGCTCGTCGCCGCCTCTCGCGCCCCCCCGCCCCCTAGCGACACCACCGCCTCCGCCGGCGCAACGCCGGCAAAAGGAGAAGAGGAGGAGGGATCGGCGGCGGCAGCGGGACGGCAAGGAGGAGGGGCTGCGGTTGAGGGGCCTGCTGGCGCTGCGGCCGGCGGGGGCAGCACTTGGGCAGATGGAGGAGGAGGAGGAGGGGGAGGAGGAGGAGGAGGGGCTGGAAGTCCTTCGCTTTCTGGATCAACTTCTTCCCAGTCTCTGCCGGAGAACAACCAGCAGCAGGAGTCGAGGGCGCCGCCGCCGCGGCACAGCAGCATGTTCGGCCTGAGCACCAACCTGGGGTACCTGTGGGTCAGCCACACGAGGGCGGGCGGGAGCAAGGCGGTGCCCTACCGGGTGGCCCGGGACTCCCCGCTGGGGGTGCTGGTGGCGTCGGACCCCATGCTCGCGAAGCCCCTGAGGCTCTCCCTGCACGGCCTGCTGATGAGGCTGCTCGTGGATCAGGAGTTCAAGAGGGACTTCGCGCTGGCGTTCGCGCGGCTGTACGAGGTGTGTTGCGTGTTATGTAACCCCTCCTCTGTTGTTCGGGAATGTAGGGAACCGCTGTGGTGTGTGTATCCGGGTGGCCCTCATGTTTCCGAACAGGGTGTACGCCTGTAGTATTATCCACAAGAATATGGGGGATGACGGAGTGCATGCACGTGGGATGCACTGCGTCAAGGGTCGACAGGGATATGCTCGAGAGAGTGGACGAGGGGCGGGGTCTGTCTGGTGTGTGGTAGGGTTGTAGTGTGGTGTGTGCACCGTTTTCTTTTTAAGTTATCTCGCAAAACGTGAACGGACAAGTTGTTGTGCATGGACCCATAGTACAAAATGACCTACAGCATCAACCTATGCATCTCCGTGCTATTTTTTGGGGGCTTTACACTGGGATAAATTAGGAAGACGTTGGTTTTACTACAACCACACTATATATCCTATACAATATAGCCCCAAAATACACCAAAGCTAGGATGAGGGAAAAAACATCGACGGTAGGGGGGGGGTGCTGGGGGGGGGTGCTAGTGCCCTTCGTGTTTGTCGATTCAAAGTCCTAATCGAGCAAACCATGGCATCGCAGTGGGCATGCAGCTTGCAGGCGGGCATTGTTTGCGTGGGCAGGTTTCGTGTGAAATGGGTGGACGGGTGTGCTGGTGTGCGGGCATAGCTTCTTGATTGTTTTGGCTGGTGGGTTTAGAAGTTGTGACAAGGTTATGTAGCACGGTCGATTACGTGGCCGTTGCTTCGATGCGTTCCTCTGCTTCTCTGTGTTTCACAAGTAGACCCTGGCAGAGTTGTGTGGCTGGTTGTTTCTCGTATTTTCCTCTCCCTCCCCTTTTTTATTCCTCTTTCCCCACATGGTGTTGCTATTTTTATATTTATCCCGGTGTTCTCCCTGTTTGCCCTCTTTTTGTCCTCGTTTTTACCTCCCTTCTGTCATTTCCTTCCTTCGTTTGCAAAAAACGACAACGACAACAACCTCACAACAACAAAAAAACAACAACAATAGTAGCCACGACACCACCACCACCAACAACAACAACAACAACAGCAGCAGCAGCAGCAAAAAAACTCCTCCTCTTTCCTTCCCGGTGGTCTCTCTCTCTCTCTCTCGCCCTTGCCTGCCCCCTGTCCGTCCAGTACCTGAATTCCCTCTACTGCAAGGGCGTGGGGGTGTCGGACGAGAGCATCTTCGGCTTCAGCGTCCAGACCTTCACCACGCCGAGCCTGGTCCGTCTCCTGGCCGACGCCTCGGCGGAGACCCCCAGCGCGATTCTCCCCAACCCAGACCATGGTCAGTGCTGTCCACGAGATTGTGAACCTCAAACCTTGAAACTGTTGCTTCGTTATTTGATTTCTAGTGGGTGTGTCCTTTGTTGGGTTGGTGGGTGGTGACCGCGGAAGACGTCCATGTCATTTTTTTTTTTTTTTTTGTTCTTCACTTCAAATCAGCGCTCACAGCACCAGTAGTGCCGTTTATTCCAACCCGTGGTCACACAGAAGAGCCTCTCTCTACCCTCCCCTCCTGCGGTACTTCGCCTTCAATTTTTAATGCGAGAAGAGTTCAGCACTCTCTTCCCTCTGTGTACACACGAACTAGCGCTATCCACTTGGCCAGGAGCGGAAGCGAGAGAAAAACTCACTTTGCAAGAAAAGCTCGCCTACGCCGGGATTCGAACCCCTGACCTGACCTCTAGAAGGTTACGAGGCTGCCAACTAGACCACCGGGGCGACCGGCTTGGCTTGGATACATCCGGAACTTTTTTGTTGTAGTGGGACGGTTTTGATGCGAAGACAACTATAGGGAACAGCACCAACTGGATGGTGGTATATAGTCTATTGTGTTTGGTGTTTTTTTGGCCCCCCCAACCAGGACCATGGTCAGCGCGACGAAGTTAATCTTCCGCTGGATGGCGGTGCTAGCGTATGCGTACGCTTTTTTTTTTCTTTTTTTTTTCCCGCAACCCTCGAAGTAGTAAGTAGTATAGGGATGGGATAGCTCCATCCGGGTGACGGTACGGCACGCCCACGTTGTTTTCGTACCCCAAAGTAGAAGATGGTCGACGTGATGCCGAGGGCTGGCAGATACCGCGGAGAAGCATTAGCCGTGGTATAAATCACCACGAGTGTTTGCTAGAGGTACTGTAGCATAAAAAGCATGATGAATAGTAATAGCGGCCAAATGCTGCTGGAGGTGCAGGAGTATCCGTCGCAAGCCCCGCCTTTCGCCAAGACGATGACAAAGCAATCAGGAGTGCTGCTGTGGCTCAAACCACCCCCGGTGACCACGACACCGTTCCCGTCACCATGCCGGAAACCTCACCCGTCAATGCCACCTTTTCTCCTCCGACAAGTGTTTACCAACAGCCACATGCTGCCGTTCATGCCCCGGGCGGCGCATCCAAACGAAAACTTTTCTTACACACACCCGCTCTCCTCTTTTTCAGGAGTTCCAAAAGTGTGGCGCTTTTCCGAAACCCCGGGGCTGCTGGCCTTGCTCGCGAAGGCGCTGGTCAGGACCATGTGGGACGCGGGGTGCCGCGGCTGCGGGCGCGAGGGGGGGAGGGAGGCGGTCATCGCGGCCCAGCAGCCGGGCCCCCGGGGGGCGGCCCGCGGCGAGAACGCCTTCCTTGAGCACGACATTACCAACCACCGGAGATTCGTGCACGTGTTCAGGGACCTGGAGTACGCTCTGCAGGTGCGTTCCATTCCGTTCCATTCCGTTCCGTTCCGCCACCCATATGCCCGCGGCCCTTAGGGGGGGGTATATTTGTTGTTGTTGTGCGTTTTTTTTGTGTGAAAATTGTATGTGTGCGTCTTGATTTTTTTGTTGTTGCTTGTTAGCATCCACCGCGCTTGCATGTGTGTGTGTGTGTTTTTTTTGTTATTAGCATCGACCGCGCTAACCGGCTGACCAATGAAAATACGTCAGTCTCAGTGCGGTTGAAAACACAAAAACACTTCCAAATGCCATGAACTGGGACCCCGTGAAGGGGCTTGTGTGTTTGTGTGTGATCGTGTGTGTGTTTGTGTGTTTTTTGACACGCTCGGAAATAGAAATTTGCTCCACAAGGCGTCTACTTCAGTGTATCTGCTGTCCCTTGTCCACGGTGCATTGGACGCAGGTGTACGAAGTCCAGAGTTATCTATGATGACAACACACAGCATTTTCGGTGAACCGAAGCTTTGGCTCTTTTTTCACATGTTTTTGCTTGGCCTGAGTGCGCGTCTCTTTTCAGAACCCCGGTTGCAGTTGTTCAATCTCGGTTGTGCCAAGGAACCTGGACTCCCCTCCCTAACGTATGTCCGGCAAGTGTTGGGTGTTCGCACATTCGTCGATCAGTTCACATGGCCACTATCTCCAGAGATAAAAGAGAGAGATAAGAGATTGAGAGAGATGGAGCAAGATAGAAAGAGAGGGAGACAGCTGCATATTCCGCCGCCCCCTGTTTATGGATTTGTGCTTGGCCGCGCTTGCGTGTGTGCGGGTGTGTGGCCACGCGTCGGAGCCCTACCCCCCCCCCCCCCCCCCAGGAAGAACCCCCCCGGGGTCCTCCAAACATGGGTCAACCTTTCGAATTTTACAGCCTCCACCGGGAGGGAATTTCTAACCCGGAAAAAAATAAAAAAAAAATCCCCAGGGGGCTGGGATGGGATTTCCCTACCCTGGACAACAACAATAAAAACAGCCGCCCCAACCAAAAACTCTCGCTGGAAAAGACATCTCGGCCGGCCCCCTTTCCAACATTATATATTCCCCCCCCCCCCCCCCCCAAAAACCGCTGTTCATGAATGAACCAAAAAGGTCCCCCCCCCCCCCCCCCCCTTTTTCCCCCTTGGGAAGGCCCCGGCCCCCCCTTAAAGGGGGCCCCCCCCCGGGGGAATCCGGGGCCGGGGTTGGGACACTACCCCAGGGGGGCCAAGGGGGCTTTTGGCGCGGCGTAAATGGGCCCCGGGGAAAGGAGCCCCACAAAAGAAAAAAAAAAAATTTTTTTTTTTTGGGAAAACAGGGGAATTTTTTTGTGGGGGGAAGGTTAAGGGGGGGGGTTCTTTATTTCTCCCCGGGCGCTTGTTTGGGGGAGCCCCAATTTTCCCGGCCCGGGGTTTTTTTGGGGGGAAGACCCGGACCGGGGGGCCCCCCCCCCCCCCCCCCCCCCACCTTTGCAACGATTTTCCTACCCCGGCGCCCCCCCCCTACCCCCCGAAACGCAGAACGTCCGGTGGATCGGGTCGCACATCGAGTACGAGTCCCGGAGGTTCTACGGGGCGTTCGGCCTGTCCTTCTCCCTGGCCAGCGTCACCGACGCCCTCGTCGACCGCGCCCTCCGCAAGGCCTCCCCGAACAACGCCGCCACCGCCGCCGCCGCCGCCGCGGCCGCCGGTACTACTACTATTACTACTGAGATGGCTGATGGGGGGGCAGCAGCGCAGGGAGGGGGCTCTTCTGCTGCCCCTTCTTCTTTGTCTTGGGCTCCTACATCTGATGATGGTGGGTCTACTTTTTCTTCGCGAAAACAGCTGTCGTCGTCGCTGGTGGGAGGGGGTTCCGGGGAATGGGCGGAGGAGAGCAGGAGGGTGGAGGCCGGGGAGGTGCTCTCGAGGCGGGGGCTCGCGGCGCTCAAGGTGGGATGAGGGGGGGGGGGTTGTACTCATAGTCGTGCATGCCGTAGTCGTTAGACCATTGACCTCGCATCCCTGCAAAGCCGGGACGGAGCACGCCGGGTTCTCACCGGACCAGGCTCTCACATCACCAAGCGCGAAGCGCCGTGAGGTATTCGGCGAGTCGCATGAAGGGTGAGCTGCATCCTGCTAAGGGTGTTCGGCATCTTGTGCTTACTTCCTTGCTTACGGATGACAGCTGCGCATGACTTAATTTATTTTCTGGTGCTTTCACTTCCAGAGACAGTTGTAAGCACTGTGTAACTGCCTCGAGGGTGCTTGACCATTTTAACACAACGTGGTGCGATCATCCCCCGTTGCGCGGAGTGAGGTTTCTCCACCCCGCACAACATGATCTACTCGACCACCATTATGGCTACCGCCAAAAAAAAAACAGAGGTAAAAAAAAAAAACGGTAACCTGGCTGCCGAGTTCACGAAGTGAATTGGCTTGTTTTACAACGTCGT